GGAGATGTCAGCTAGGCACACCTTGGGACACCAGTGTGAAAGAACCTAAAGGAGACCTCTGACTATGTGTTCAAGTAACTGTCTCCTAGTTTCCCAGGGAGGTGTTGTGCAGTCACGGGAGGGATGTGGGTCTGGGAGTCAGAATCAGATTCTGCCCCAGTCCTGACATTGGCCAACATGGGGAACTTGTACTTTACCTCTGGGCCTCTCCTTGTCTTTGTAAATAAGGGTTGTGATACCTACTTTATAGGTTGTGACAAATAAGAGAAAACGGTAAGAGCACTTTGAAGACTGTGTTGTCCACACAGCTAAAATATAATTAGTCTGTTGCTATTTTTAGATTTTACTGGGCTTATTAGACTGATTTTTTTAAATACAGAAGATCAGTTGGCTGACAATGTAAAGTGAACCTCTTTCCTACTTGAGTAGATTTCTCTAGAGGTAGCACCTGCCGTTCTTTGCATTTTCCAGTAACCATAGAGAGAGACACAGCTTTTAAGAAGACACAGGAGCTTGCAATACAGTGCTATGCGATTTAATTTATCTTGAACGCTGTTAATTTAATTTACCTTGAGCGCTGTTAAATACATGATGCATTCGTGGATCTGCTTAATTGTGCTCATTGTGGCTGCAGGCATTTCAGTGCTCCTATTGATAACACACTGAGATTGTTTCTAAGTCTCGTATTTAGACTGTCTCTAGTCTGCTGTTACAAACTATACAGCAGTAAGTATACTTGTACATATATCTTTGTGTACATGTTTAAGTAGTTTTATTTATTGATTGGTTTTAGAGAAAAGGAGAGAAACATCTTGTTCCCCTTATTTATGCATCATTGGTCATGTGCCCTGACCAGGGGTCGAATCCGCAACCTTGGCGTATTGGGACGACATTCTAACCATCTGGGCTACCCGGCCAAGAGCCTCACGTAATTTTTAAGAGCTGAGTTCTGGATCCCACAACCTCCTGTCTCCGAGACTCTTCCACCTGTCATTCCCACCCTTCTCTCCTTTTCTGCTGAGTCCTTCTCAGCAAATAGGTAAATACTGACTCTTCCGCCGAAAGAGCTTCTCGTTGGCTTGTCCCCCTCTGGCCACTTCTCGTTACTTCCAAGCCCTCTTGAAAGAATCTCAGTACTGACTTCCCACTGACGTGCCTCACTCGCTGTCCCTCTTCCTACAGTCTGGCTTCTGGTTGCACCCCACCACTCAGCTGTTCTTGCTAGAGTAGTGTGGTCTCCACGTTTTCCTGCCTACGTTTCTGTTCACCTTGGCACCGATTACTCCCCTCGCCTTTCTGAACGTCCTTTAAACTCCCCCAGTGTCCTGTTCTTCTGCTGGTTCAGTCCTGTTCTTGCTGCCTCCTCAACCCGCTGCTGTAACTTGAGATTTCATTGGGTACTGCCCTGGATTCTGTTACCACAAGACAAACTGAGAGTCTCATCCACATCAGAGGTTATCACCGCCTGCGGTAGCCGCTGGTGTGTCTCAGTCCGCCTCTGGCTCCAGATTTGTCTGGACAACTAGCTGCACCTCAAACTTAACGGACGCAAAACTGAATTTACAGCCTCTCCCAGCACACCCTGCCCCAAAACTACGTGGACATTTGTGTTCTGTATCCTGGTTCATGGTCTACGCCAGGGACCTGGAGTCGCTGTTGATGCCTCCCTCTTTCCTCCTCACCCACCGAGTCTCTGCCCAGATAAACTTTCCTCTTGCCTTTCCTCCCCTCATTCCAGGCCAGGCAGAATGGATCCCTCTCTTCTCTGCTCTGCGGTACCTTTCCCACCCCTCCCTTATCTGTAACAAGCTCTGCGGTTCCTTGCCTACATTTATTTCCAGGTCTTTCATCTTCATGAAGTACTCGACCTGTGATACGGAGTTTTTAAACACAAGGACAATTTCTTTGTCTTCCTAGACAGCGCATGGTCTGGCACACAGTAAATGCTCAAAGATGCCCGTGGAGTGGACAGTGGCGCATTTCCCCAAAATAGAGCTTGAGCTTAATTTTTATCTAAGGGAGGGTACACAATTTTTAAGAAATGCAAACATATGGAATAGAATTTAGATCCAAATTTTATCAAAAGAATCAACTTTTACTCGCTTTTTCTGTTTTTCTTAACTTGTCAGTATAAATTTTTCTATTCTAACAGGTGAAAAACCTTTTGAATGTCCAAATTGTCACGAGCGATTTGCTAGAAATAGCACCCTCAAATGTCACCTGACTGCATGCCAAACTGGAGTGGGGGCAAAGAAGGGAAGAAAGAAGCTTTATGAGTGTCAGGTACGTGCGGGTGCGTGCTGTCCTTAGAGGAGTCTGTGTGAAATCATTCAACGTGGAGGGAGGGTGACAGAGTCAAGCAGAGGTTTGGAGAGAAATGAGAGTCAAGAACGTCACTGTCTTGATTTCATAAGGGGGTATAGTAGTGTTTTCTACCTGACCCTCGATGACATCAGTGTGAATCATTTATGTTCTAAACAGCAGGGAGTCTGAGACTGCAGGGGTGGAGCAGGGAGAGGAGGGCCAGCTGTAATGGTTCTTCATGATTAGTGTATGTTTATCCCAAGTAATGTATGGTTCTGAATTTTGTTGTTAATGGGAGAAATTATACCATTGTTACTTTATAGTCTTCGAATTTATAGGACATTTAAGCAATGAAGGCAATATTAAAATGTTTCCCAAAATATATTTAATATGTTAGTTATATCAGCTAAAAGACCATAAAAGAATTATGAAATCCCTTGGAGCAGATTGTACTACAAATACCATATTCATAACATTTTCAGAAAAATCTTTAACTCTTCCCTTACAAGGAATAAATGAATACATATTTAGTTTGAAGTACTGTTAACACCATATGTTTGGTTATTTCAGGTCTGTAACAGTGTGTTTAACAGCTGGGACCAGTTCAAAGATCACTTGGTGATACACACTGGAGACAAACCCAACCATTGTACTTTGTGTGACTTGTGGTTTATGCAAGGAAATGAATTAAGAAGGCATCTCAGAGATACTCATAATATTTCTGAGCGTCTGGTAGCCGAAGAAGTTCTTTCTGTGGAAACGCGTGTGAAAGCGGAACCTGTGACGTCCATGACGATCATAGAGCAAGTCGGGAAGGTGCATGTGCTACCCCTGCTTCAGGTCCAGGTGGACTCAGCCCAGGTGACGGTGGAACAGCTCCATCCGGATCTGCTCCAGGACGGCCAAGTGCACGACTCCCAGCTGAGCGAGCTCCCGGAGCAGGTCCAGGTGAGTTACCTAGAAGTGGGTCGCATTCAGACTGAAGAAGGTACCGAGGTGCACGTGGAGGAGCTGCACGTGGAGCGGGTCAGCCAGGTGCCCCTGGAAGTCCACACCGAGCTGCTCGAAGCAGACTTGGATCAAGTGGCCCCTGACATCGTGAAGCGGGAGGAGGGGGAGCGCAGCCAAGGAGACGCCGCCCAGGCTGCCGAGGCTGCCGGGGAAGCTCACGAAGACTCTGGGGAGTTAGAGACCAAACCAGCAGTGGACTCTCCGGCGGAAAGCGCAGGAACCGAGAACAGAGCACCGGTGCCGGTTTTAGAATGAAACAAGTGAACCGGTTTTTAAATTGATGTGTTGGGTGTTTGAACTGATGCTGGGCAGTGTGACTGCCCCGGAGCTAACAGACAAGTGGACCAAAGTTAAACTCTCCCTTCTTGTGCTGAACTGTTTCTGTTGAACGGACTGATTCCCTCCCTTCTTATGCCACAGAGAAGGGGTGTTTCCCCCCTGTGAGTGGGACGTTTTGAGAAGTATATTTCTGGAAACTTTAAATGGATTATATTCTTCTATAGTTGGGTACGAATGTATCTATTTTCATTGTGGTAAGGGTCCTCCCTTCTCTTTCCCAGGTTGTGTTCTTCCTCAAAGTTTTTCTGTATTGTGAAATCAAAGTCATTAGAATACAAGCGGGCGTGTTCTAATGCATGCTAGAAAACAGTGTGTAGAAACCGGCTGCATGAAGAAAAGTGCATTGTTACTGTGCAGTTACGTTTGGCTTCCGCCTTTCTTTAGTTTGAGCAGTGTTCTTGTCTACCGGTAGTCACGGATGCATCCTGCAATGGAAACAGAGTGGTGGTCACAAATGTCCAGAATGTTAAAAAAATCCACACCCACGTGCCTTTTCAAACCAACTGAACTTCTATAAAGCATCTCGGGTTCTTTCAAAGTTTGTTGTGAGGAGCAATGTAGGTGATGCTACATAGTACTTGGTATTTTTCCTTATAATGACAGCTCCCAGTTCTTTTTCACTTAAGTTAGGTTGAGAAATTTCATTTAATGGCAGCTGAAGGGCCATTTTCAATTGGGAAAATTCATTTATATCTGTGGTAAACTTTATTTTGATGAAAAATTGCACTAGTATTTTACCACCAGATTAAAAAAAGAAGATGAGCATCATTTAAAAATTAATGTATTTAAAGTACAGAGAAAAACATGTATATAATATATCAGGCTTTGTTTTGAATGAATCTTTTCCCCCAATCCTTAATGTAAAGATCTTGTGCTATAACTTTTAAAGCCATACAAATAAGAGTGCTAAACTGTGGACTTCGAAGTAGTGTGTAAATATTTTTAATCAGTATTACTTGGAAAATAAAATATAACAACCACATAAAATAAACCAAGATGCTATTTTCTTTACCTGTTAAATATTGGGAGATATTTACATTTTTAAAGTAAACTTTAAAATTGTGTGTTCATGACTCTTTTTTTTTTTTTTTTAGTTACCAGTGTGGCAGTTGGTTTGTGATCAGAGGTGTTTTCTCATCTGTATTAACATGACTTTATGCACCAATATTAAGATGACTGACACATGAATTGATAAATATAATTCT